CCTTGTCCCCTTGCTCTGGCTACCTTGGTCTGTTTTTTTTCGCCTTGAAATAACATGTTGGGTACACCAACCGATTAGAAATGGTGGTACTTCGGAAAAAAACCCAGCCAACCAAAACCAAACAAACAAACCCACCAAAACCCCAAAACCAAAGCCAAACCTTGTGTCTCCTGTGATTGGGGTGGATTTGGAAGGAAAGTTTGCCTGGGACTAGAGAAAAGACGAATACCTGTGAGTGGGGATCGGACAGTGATGCAGATAATGGATGAGGAAGAGGTGGACGGATGGGCAGATCTATGGGTACATGGATGGATTAATATATTTTGGAAACACGGTGTTTGTGGGTACATGCATGCATGGAACGTATGGTTACATTTTTCAAACATACATTACGGGGGAGGGATGTCACTTTTCTTGCCTAAATCGCTCGTTATCATTTGAAGCGGTAGAAATTATTTGTAGTCGCTAGTACAGATCAGAAGGGTAAAGAATTAGCAGGCCATCACTTGGTCTCACCCCAACACGACCGCTCACCTCTCCCCACATCCCGTCTCCTCCAAGCGTTTCTAACCCCGTGTAGACAATCCCGTCCGCAGCCGGTCGTGTTTGGGCGGCTAAATTCACCTTTAAAGACCATGCCATTGAAGCCCGTTAGGATCCCATAAAATATCTTTATTACCAACTGAAAATCAGGCGTCCACCTCGCACAGGGATTAGGGGAGAGGCTGTTCGACATAAAACCAGTCTGCTGAATAGGAAAGGCTCCCTGCACCCCGCTTCCCCTCCTCGAATTTCCAGCTTTTGCGTTTGTGTTTACAGGTTTTCAGAGCAGAGGTTTTTCAGGATTGCACTGGCCACCCCCTGACTGCTGAGGGAGAAGCCAGAAGTTCAAATGATGATAGCAAAGATACTAGGAGACACATGGAGCAGGACAGGAAAAACAGCCCAAGGAAGGAAAAGCAATCTCCAAAGTGTGCTAAAGGGGGACATTCTGCTTTGTGTAAAAGAGACGGACATGTGTCCACCAAATGTTGTCTTACCGTAAAAAGGAGGGGGCAAAAAAAAAAAAGGGGGCTTGTGGCCGCTCCAAATTCTAGAAAACCCCCACCCCCACAGCATCTCTGCTTTGAACTTTTTTTTTTTAACTTTTTTTAAGGAACGGGGAGGGGGTGGGGTGGGATAGATGTGAGTTGGTTCAGGTGTGGACGAAGTGTCCCCCAACCTCTGCTGCAGATGTGGCGACTTGGCTTTCAAAAAAAGCAACAGCCAGAGTTCCACCACCACCCCCACCCCCTCTTGCTATATCTGCCCTATTTTGCCCTCTTTTGCTCTATTCTGCTCTATCTACGCGACCGCGGAGCCGGAGCCTCTGGCCGGGGCCACCTGCCCGTCCCAGCCCGGAGCGGGGGGACACAGCCCCCGCCGCAGCCCCTCACCCCCGAGCCATGGCAGGCTCTGCTCTTTCCCCGCTAACTTGTTTATTTTCCCAAAGAAAAAGGCTGCTGCCTTTTTTTTTTTTTTCTTTTTCTTTTTCTCCCCAGAACGATGTCCCCTTTAGAGGGAGAGAAGGAAATCTGTGAGATATCGGTGGGTTCAATAAGGTTTGGAGGGTCCGTAGGCAAACTGCAGCCTCTCTGATTATTTTTCTGTAGCACTTCAAGACAGGCTGGAGACATAACAGCGGTCATTCAGTGTCTCCATATGGTAGAAACGAACTACGGAAATATGAGGACACTCGTTGGTATTATTGGAAAAAAAAAAAAAACCGAAACCCAAGAGAAAAAAAAAAAAGGGCAAGGAAAAAAAAAAAAAAAAGCCCTAGGGCAAAACCCCCGTCTCTACACAGGCCGAAAGGAGGAAAAAAAAAAAAAAGTACACACATTTATTTGGCAAGCAGGTGAAAATAATTAAAATCCAAAGGTGTTAACAACCTAAAGAGCACAGACAGAATACAGCTAATTGAAATGCAAAAGCATGGGCCAGATTTGTGGCTATTTGCGAGCACTAGAAACCACACCGAATCGCCCCCAATAAACGAGCAAGAGCCTTTTTACATGGCGAAGGACAAACCAAACTTTGTCTGAAGTACACATGTCCCCCGGCAAAGACAGGATGGAGTTTGCCTCGCAATGAGAATGAATCTTTACACATTTTCTATTTCTCCCGCTTCCACAAAGTTTACTTGCGGGCCTCGAAGCTGTGATGGAAATGTAATGCAATTCCAGCTCTCGGGAGGATAAGAATTAGGACCTTCTAAAAGTGAGAAATAAAGCTCTGAAAGAGAGACAGACCCTCTTTCCTCCCCGCTCAGCCTTTAGCCATATCAACCCTTTAAAATAGTTTAAGCAGATAATATTTCAGAAGAACTTACTTTCAGGACTCCAGTCTATTGGCTCTCTGGACTGAAAACTGGACCCGCAAAACATGTTCCCTGCAATTGCAACGTTTATCTCATCTGGAAAAGTGCTCACCCATTGCTGCCCCTTACAAGCCAAACCAAGCAGTTAAAGTGTCACTTAACATTCTAGAGAATGTGAAATATATTGTACATTGTCAACTCCCCAAAACCATAAAACTAACTTTATGGACCTCACGTGACTTTTGAGAGCCAGTGAGGGGTATCTGTCTGAGGTCTGGGCGATTTTTACGATCTAACTTCTAGATAAAACCCTATCCATTTGACATCTAAATGTCATACCCACTTTTGGTATAGTTTGCTATTGGTAAAAAAAAAAAAAAAAAAAAAAGGAAAAAAAATATCAAGGGAAGGCGAGCAAATGGTTTGGGATCTGACAGTCCACTTCACATCCCTCTCAAAATCACTTAAGAAGTACCTAAACAGTGGGAGATTAAGTTTGGTAAGTTTTAAGCTCCAACTTTACTTGCTACGAACAAAAAGCCTAAGCTGTATTGTAGAGATGTCAGTGGCGTTTTGCCAAATCGAGCGACTTTAAACCGGAGTATCTCGTGCCTTGTTAGATTCCCTAGGTAGCGAAATGGCAACATTTGCCATCTTTGATGATGTTAAATTATCTGCAGCCGAAACGACTCGTTGTAGTAAGTGTCAGTAGTTACAGAGCTGTGAGCTGTTATTTACATGTTGAGGCAGAGAGGAGGAGGTAAAAGCAGAAAGCACAATAAACCGAGGACGAGAGGTCGCGGAGAGAGTACAGCTTAGCACAGAAATGTATTATATATATACATGTTATATATATAATAAATATATCTATACAAACACACAGATCTGTAATTCTATAGAACATGGTTCTACGTGGACATATAGGCGGATATAAATACCTCTCGCTTTTAAAATGTGCGTGTGCGTTGTGTAGATCTGTATCTGACAATTCCTGCGATCTGCCGGGGAAGCGTTTATACCGGGTTATTGCAACTTGAAGGACTTGAATCCAGTTTGTCTGCTACGGTGGGATGTGTCTGGTGGTGGTGGGTGTCGTGGTGTTTTGGGGGAGACGGCGTTTGGGGCAGTATGTGTGCGTGTGGGGAGTCGCGTTTTATTCCCGTGCGGTGCCAGGAGGGTGTTGGAGGTGATTATTTGGTGTTTCTGAGCTCCCAAGGAGCTGCCCAGGAGGGGCTCCAGCTCCACCGAGAGCTCCCAGTACAGGCTCAGCTCCATGCCCGGCACCGCTCCGGCTTTAGCCTGTGCCGCAAATCTCAGAGGTTGTGTAGAAAGTGCAACTGGGAGCCTTTGTGAATAGGAGAAACGTTTATTTGACTTCAAGTAAAGCTACAAACAAATACAAAAAGCTTATTGGCAAAGTACTAACAGGCAGCTAGACATGACAGATGCCATTTTTACACATAACATTGCATTCACTCTGCCCACTACAAACCGTCTATTAGTCACATCAGAAATATTTCTAGTATTTACAAACATTAGAGCACTCTATGGTTGGTCCGATTTTATACATATTTTTTTTTTTAATAGTGAAGTTTACCCACGTCTAAGAGTACGTCTCGGAATTAGCCTGGGACTAGAAATCCTGGCCTGAAGTTTGAACTAAAACACAGACTGGACAATTTTAAGACAGAAAGATACAAGAGCTTTTTTTTTTTTTTTTTCATTTCCTCTATTTTTCCCTTTTTTTTACATTTTTGTTTGTTTTTTTAGATATTTTTTTTTTCTGCGACTGTAGTGCAGGAACCCCCGATTTTAGCTTAGGCAGAGAAGAACTCACCCAAAAGCAGTAAACTCAGGAAAGGGGAAAAAAACCCAACAAATAAACAATCGTATCTGTTCTCAATTTATAAATAAGTTATAACATTTAAAGGGCTCACATAAAACATGCTAGCTTTCCAGAAAGCATCAAGAGAGCACGGACACATACATTTATAAGAACAACAAGAGCATGAGGAGCATCTGGAAATAAAATTTAATTAAAAAAAAAAAGTTTTTTTTTAAAAAAAACAAAAAGCAGAACACGACATGAACTCAGTCCTGGGATAACGGTACCATACGCGTTGTTTTAGAATATCACCAACATGCCGAAAAGAAGGTGCCTCACTGTACAGTACTCCGAAACTAAGATCTGCGGCGCTTTATTTATTTATTTACGTATTTCTTTCTCGTCTCCTCTTCTTTCCTCGATATTCCTCCTCTAGAATTTATGGCTGAAAGGCGCTGCCCGCCGAGGCTAAGCTCATGCTTTTCAGTTTGTTATCCTTCTTCCATTTCATCCTCCTGTTCTGGAACCAGATTTTGATCTGGCGCTCGGAGAGGCAGAGAGCGTGAGCGATCTCTATTCTCCTCCTGCGGGTGAGATATCTATTGAAGTGGAATTCCTTTTCCAACTCCAGGGTCTGGTAGCGAGTGTACGCTGTCCTCGCCCTCTTACCGTCTGGTCCAGTCATGTCTGAATAACACGGACAACAGCGGGGTTTGGGTTTTTGCTTTCTGCCAGGGTTTTTTTTTTGTTATCCTTAAGGCATTTTTTTTTTTAATATAATACCGAGGTAAAATATTCGCCTTCTTCGGGCAGCTAGGAAAGCTGCTTATTCCCCAAATAACAGCCCCCCCCCCTTCTTTCTCGCACACCCCCAGACACGTGTAAAACCCCCCACCCTTGGCCCCTCCAGAACCGACATTCGCAACTCAATATTCATAATTTAACTGGAGAAGCGAGCTCTTGAAATCTCCCTTTTCTGCCTCTCCCTGGGTGTTTCTGGCTCTGCTGCAGGAGCATCTGCTTTGCTGCTGCTTTCTTTTCTCCAGGAGAAAACCGGGGCGGAGGAGGGGGGGGGGTCGCTCTTCCCCGTGTATCTCCTCGCAATTTTGGTTTTGTCACGAGCAGATTGTCAAGAATACACCCAGCAAAATCAGAGTAGGAAAGGACTGAGAGACCCATCTGTGCATATAATGCCATTTTAATGGTCAATTCTTTCCTTTCCTCTCCCTCCCCACCCCCCCAAGGAACACCTCCTTCCCTCAAATTTTAAATTACCTTCTCCCACCATCCGCATAGAGCTTAGAGCTCGAAATAAGGGCACATTTCGCGGCAAGAATAGCGAAACTAAAATAAAATTCCCCCCCCCCCTTCCAGGCGCCAGAGGCAGCTTTAAAGCAGCGATCAGAGCAAGAAATACAAAAGCAATAAATAGCTGCGTTTCTGATCAAAGCGCCTCCACCGAATAAAAGGAAGGAGAGGGGGAGAAAAAAAAAAGGGGGGAAAAAAAGGGAGTGGGGAGGTGGGGAGGGAAAAGGGGGGGGCAAAACACAAGAGAAAAAGAGAGGGGTGTGCGAAAATAAACAACAACAACGACAACGACGGAAAAAGAAGTAGCTGTACCATGGCTAATGTGAAGTTTCCTCATCCAAGGGAATATCTGAGGTGCCTGCCCTTCTGTTGCTGCGGTGGAGGTTGCGATGGGCTCTGCCTGCGCTCGGGGGATGCTGCTGCTTATTGGAGTGCCCTCGTCGGCTCCCGAGGACGCGCTGGTCTCGTCTAGTTCTGTGAAATTTGTGTTGGTGGTGCTGGCAGAAGTAGCTTGGTCGGAGGGGGACGGGGCGGGTTTGCCTCCATGGCTCTCGCTGTTGGAGCAGGGAAGGGAGTCGGGAGAAGATAAGGAGCAGCTAGACGCCTGTCTAAACCTGCTCTCCTGAGCTGGAGAAGGGAAACCGCGGGAGCTCTCCCCCACAGCCCCAAAGTGACTAGAGGAGGCTGAGCGGTTGATGCTAAGGTCCATCCCATTGTAGTTGTAGCCATAAGAGCTGGAATGCATGGTGCTTGAATCTCTGTAAGAACCGTTCATGGAACTGCTGGTCCCATAATTTAGTAACTGATAGTCGGGGCCATTTGGGTAGCGCCCTGAGAACGAGTTTACAAAGTAAGAGCTCATTTGGGTTATTTTGGAGGGCTTGATTTGTGGCTCGTGGTCGTTATAACCCTGTGCTTGACGATTTATGATGTATTAATGAATTATAGCAATGCACTGTACTTCGTTTTTGCTATGTATGCGGCCAAATATGGGGGGAGGGTGGGGGTGCGTTTGGGAATCACGTGCTTTTGTTGACCAGTCGTAAATTCTCACTGATGACCTCAAGAGGTAATTCATGCTCTATGGTTACAAATAATGACGATCGCGGAGTCGTTTAGGCCCAAAGTCGGTGCGCGGCGCCCCAAATCCCCGGGCGCGCCGGCGCGCGCTTCGCCCCCCACCTTGGCGGAGCGCGCCCCCTGCCGGCCACGCGCGGACACGCACCGCGCGCGCGGGG